GGGAAAGTTTCATTAAAACTGATGTGATTTTTCTTGCAGTAGCCAAGGAAAAATAAATCTAACCAGTACTTCTTTGAATGGAGTGATTATTGTATTCAACAAGAGATTTCCCGCTTTGATGGTGCTGTATCGCATGAAAGACATTTGTCCTAAACAAGGGTTCACTTGCATCGATTCGTGACTAGGGGCTCGGTAAACTCCGGTTGGATTTATGTTTGCTGGAAAAAGGAAATCCATCCCAGCCTCATATAACATGTGTATAAGCAAACTAATTTTGTGCACTACATGGCTTTCCATCTTAATTGTACGATAAATTTTATGGGCACAATACTTACAAACGTTAATGTTATACTTTTTATCTGATATACTTGCAACTGAATATTCAAAAATGCAGCCCATTGGAACATTTGTGGTAATTTTGTGTGTTTTCAGAACCTACCGAGGAGCGTGAACGCGAGTCGGCTCATTTTGTTTTCCAGATGGAACATGGGCAATACCATCACTTATCCAACTGGAAGTTATCCATATTCCGGAGCAGGGCTTACATGTTACAAACGACTGGGACTGACTTAACCATGTCTGATTCAATACAATCGCCAACGAGCTGCAGCCTACAGACTACATTTCCTGTCGAAAGTCCGATAGATCGGTACAGACCAAATGTCAAGGCATTCGTTGGTTTGATTTTTTAGCTGCATTTATTTAAAGACCTTATATGGCTGCGTGAGTGTAAAAAACTTAGTCATGAAAACAAAAATATTTAATGTCAATCACGTTGATATCTTTTTGCCTTTTCTTCCGCGTTTGTTCTCACAGTAACTTGAAGAGAATGAAAAATAATTTTGATATGCATCAGTGTATGAAGAAAAGTAAGTGCATATGTGCAACTTATGAAGTTTCACAGTTACCTTTCGAATGTAGATTTGATTAGGTTGGTGTGTGGTTATTTACTAACTCGATGAGTAGGACAAATTTTGTACTTGTTTGACAGAGCCATTAAGCCACTAAAGTTTGATAAGTAATATGTCTTTTGGTTGAAGAAAATGACTCTAAATATAATTAGACCGTCCGGGAACCAATCTTCTTGGAGGATAACAAGATGATTCTTGTTCATTTATTGTGAAAATGAGAATGCTCTGCGCTTGGGCTTCAGTTTTGAAGCATTTCAAAGTTAGCGCATTTTAAAATAGTATAGAACAAAAATGAATTTAACAAAACTCATTAACAATAACCTATAGGTAAATTCACATTAATTTGTTCTAATTAACTCAAACCAGTGACTAGCTGATGATACTAATTGATTGGTCATTTTATTTCATTCTGGTTTTGAAATTATCTCAGGTGTATATTGAAGTGAAGATGACAAGTAGAATTTGAGTCTATGGTAAACTAAATATTTCACATTTATAAATGGAAAGGAATATGTCAAGAGGAAATGATACAGTTAGTGAACAGTATGTATACCCCAATCAAAGTCCTTCCAAGACTTGCTTCTATTAAAACTTATAACTGATTTGAATAATTGAATGAATACTTCAAACACGGACTTGCCAGAGTATTGGTGAACGTTCGGCAACCGATCCGATTAGTTCGGTTGGTCGTTTCATCCGTCATTCTAATGATCATGCATTTCCAACAGTAATCGTCGATTCCTTTCCCTTATGATGTTCATCCTTAGCACCTTCCCTGTTCTATGTTGATGGTCGCTATACTGTTGAAGAGCACATACTATTGGACCTTTTAGTGCGATGAAAAGTATGCGGTTACAACAAACAACCACTATTGTTAATATCGTTGGCAGGAACCTGGTAACACGTCCCATTCAACTCTCATCATTCAACCCAAAAAGGCTCTTACACTTTATTGGCAAATCCTTGTACTAGGATTCAACCATTAAATACTTATATTGTCATGTGTGCACACAGGATTTCACTTTGCGTTTTGTCTAAGAGAATGTATAATAAACCCCGTAACAGATATTTATAAAAATTTGAATGGTCAGTATTTCTTCACATCTTTCGCCAGCAAAATATACATATTTAGCTAACCTTGATACCACTAAAACACTTCCTATTTTTAGGGGCCTCGTTTGTTTTCGGTGACTAATTCGGAACATGGTGGACTATTTAGTAAACCCATTTTTCAGTCGTTTAGTAAACATCACTCCATCGTGAGAATAATACTACAATAATAAAGTTATAAGAGAAGTACCACATAACCACAATTGAAAAACATATATCACTCGCAAACAGTACATGAAACCACTTTCATACTCAATTGTTCATTCATCTCGCTCTGTACAATGATGAGGAAGGACAGACAGAAGACAGTTTATGCAGGTCTATAGATCCAATTACGGTGCTCATAGGTAACGTAGGAAAGTTTTGATTTCCGTTTCACTGTTTCTGAGCACCATTCGAAATGGACACTGGTCTACCTCGGTGAGGATCACACACGGTATTGAACGGCGAAAGGCAAGATTTCAACGCATTCAACAATAAGTGGGTGATCACACTATTAACCCATGCTCCCAAATAACAAATCCTCACTAGAGTTATGCTGCATTGGAACGATTTTTTTGGACGCAGTATGGAATGTTTAAACAAATTATCATTTTCATTTCGACAATGCTCTATAGCTTTACAAAACCTTCTTTATTTCTAATCCTCAAAACCGAAAACCTTCTTGTACAACCTGAAGTGTTCCGTGCAAATGGAACAACATAATGTGAGTGAAAATGACGGAAATGCTCGGAGCATTTCCAAGAAGATAAGAATAGATGAGTAGATGAAACGCATTGAATTGGATAACGGTTTTTGCCTGCCATTTGTGCTTGCTACAAAACCTCAATTGGCTCAAAAATGCTTGAGGGGTTAGAGTTGTACACACGAAGAAACGCACACTATTAGATTATTTTGCATACAAAGAAAAACGCTCTCTATTTGCACCGGAAACTTGACGACTTGACGTTCTACCAAAGCAGACCAATGAAAAATATGCTTATCAAAATATAATAGACATCAAAACCACAGATAACCGAAAGCACCAAAACATTTTTATTTATTCAACAGTATATGCATCCAAAAATCACTCTCATCAGTGATGAACAGTGATACGCGTAAATGAAAAAACAATATGAAAATGCTAATTAAAACGGTGCAACTACTACTGCTGTTCAAACCTTTTGGAATGCAAATTCTTACGAGTGATTGACGTCACTAAATAAGAACCACATAAACCATTGTTCGGGTTAAAATATAAACCAGATGTGCACTCCTACCCGAAGCTCTTGACAGAGGTTTGCTCTGGAAATCAGGAAACGCATAGTCGCATGCTAAATCTACGAAAATGTCGATGTTTTGATCTCTGGAATGATAAATCTCCCAATGACAATAAATTCTATAAAAGTACACTTCCTTTCCTTGCATAATCGAACCGGTTTGGGTCTGGACCGATCCAGCACCAGTCTCAGTCACCAGCACATTGACATTTGTTACGGCTGGAGAACAGGACGGAAACAGTCGTTACAATGTTGAATATTCAAGAACTAATAAGAACAAAGGTTGTTAAGAGTAAACGTCAGAATGCATTCAAGTCAATCGGAGGCACCCGAAAATTCTATACAGTGGAACAATACAGGCGCTTATCATGATGTAAAACAACACACCTCTAGATGTAAGCATATATGTCTAAAATGATCGAAAGTAGGGGAAATTTTCAAACATTGTGCTCTAGTCCAAAAATCTGTTGACAACTGTTATTCATTCTGTTCGGTGAAGTAAACAACACCGCGACAGTTTGCGCATATAGCAGTTAGTTAGTTTTTGCACCAACGATGATCAAACAATCGTTGTTTTGATTGTAAAATTAAAAGAATAAAATATAATGCGTTAGGCAATGGGTAGAATAAGGCGTCGATCACGGAGTACTTGTTTACCTGTGTGAATTGAATATTCTTGCTAAAAATAGATTAATTATATAAGCCTGGCTTACTAAGGAATTTAGTGAATATTATTTGCAAGATGTCAAACCAGAGGTACATACTGGGGAAATTAGATTCATTGTGATTGCAACCGAAAGAATAAACTGCGATGTAGAATAATGAACCTCTTATACAATAAAACGTTGATAACCCGGAAAATTTTAACTATCTAGAATATATCTTTTGGATGAACTTTTAGGTTCAATGAGAAAGAAATTAGCAAGCGACGGATGGTATATTACTTTCCAAAGACCTAACTTATTTCCTTCGGCATTTGTAATTTGAAGATGGTGACTCAACGTAAGCATTTTACACGAATCTCAAACGTATTTGTTAGAACAGACACTTTTTGGCTCATAAAAGCTTCTCATCCTAAAAGTTAGTTATCTAAAAGTTTCAAATTATCTTTTGTACTAGGTACGCATTGGAGAACGGTGAATATCGAAAAGTTATTTTCTCGTGAGCTAGTCGCCCTATGCATATTTCGTTCTTCTTACGAACTTTTATTCCATTAGATGCTACATCGATAAAACTGCATCTGAGGACCCAATGAATCCCATACGCATGAAAGCGAATCACGCATTTCATCATGCAACTTCGAAATTCTTTCATAACTTCTACCGGTATTTTCATTACAACACCTAATGATTGAAGTGAGATATGCACAGGAATATGTAATTTAATTATGATTCTCTGTTGGTTTTTTCTACAAGATGAAACATTCAGTTATCTTCTACTGAAATTCGTTACACCATTGCACTCTGTCTGAAAAGATTATTCCGTTCGTTTGACTTGCGTACCAGTGTTCCCATTTAACTTTGTAGAACATGACCAAGAGAGCAGATCTTTATTCATTTGTTCATTTCTGACAGTAGTGATAATGCATCTTTGGAAAGCTTTTAGTGTGTAGCAATTTCGGAAACGCAGATAAACAAAAAAGTGGTATAAAAATATGAAACTTAATATTCGAGATCTTAGACCGCGACATCGTGATTAGAGAAAACAAACCCACAGGGATTTAGTATGATTTCTCGCCTGTCGCACTGTTGACATTCAAACTGTGACGGTTTGTGTCCTCCGTATTGACCGATTCAATTAAAGTTCCACGAATGGACGACGAGGGGGTGGTACGCGCTTGATCACCTATAAACGACTGCATCACTCGAGGTGTGAATTTGACCAATCTTTGGGCCACATTGTCTGTCGGTTTCCGTGCACACGGACGAGTAAACATGTGGCGCAATTCCGAACGAAACATAGGCAGAAATATGTAAAATGTGGGGAATTCGGTCACAAAATAAATTGACTCAACGGAACTGAAAAGTTTTGAAAGCTGAACTAGTTTTTTCTCATATTCTGGATAGATATCATGATAATTGTGATAGTCCGCATGTTGACGTAATAATATTGCAATAAGTATAGGTAGCATGATGACCGAGAATATGGTGGTCATCCCAAGATGTCCAAGCACACGCCGTGTCTCCGCACTGGATCGTTCCATATTCATACAGAGACGTGTTCGTTCACGAAATAAATCTCTCAGCTTGAGAAATATCATCACATTAGTAATTAGCACTATCGTGGACGGAATGATGTTGGAGCCGAATATGTGAAGATATAGTGTGTACTGAGTGCCGATGTTTAACGGGTCCAAGTAAACGCATTCTTTGGACAATACTCCGGATTGTTCGCTGTTAATTGTGATGCCCGATTGGATTGGTAGTGGGAGGTATAGCATAAAGCTTATCAAATACACAAAACTGATCCCAAAACCGGCAGTGCGCAAGCGATGATCTCCACGGAATTGTAGTGGCTTGTAGACGGTCAACACACGGTCAATACTGAACACGATCAGTAGACTGGTAGAGATTAAAGCGGCGGTTTTTGGCACATAGCTTATAAATTTGCACATGAAGTCGGAGTGAACGTCCACTTTCAGGTAGAGGGAACAATCGCTTAACCAATATAATCCACGACCAAGAAAATCGTCCAAAAACGCATTGAATATAAGTTCCAATGTGTGTGCCACAGCAATGGCAATTGCGTACATATTGAATCTACAAGGCGATTTTCTTTGCATACGAGCAAAAGCAGTTATCACCAACGTATTGCCGATCAAACCGAATACAATGATGACCGGCGTTACATAAGCACGAAATCCATAGACAAGTATTTGTTCAATGGGGCGAGCTTTTGAAGAACACGTCTGAACTGTTGTCATTTTTATTCATTGAATTTACAACAAGCTCTCAGCTAAACCCTGTCGGGTTACTTTCAGGTTTTCCTCTGAGTATTGCGATGTCTGTTGAGGTAATTACATTGCAGTTTTGTGCATATCCCACGCAGCAGCTTGGGCAATTCACTTGACCAATGTTATTCGAAGTATACCTCAAAAGACGAATGCAAAGCCGGCTTTCCTTACCTCTGATTGGCTGCAAATTCGTTCCAGTCATGTGCGGTCGACTGACCGACAGTCCAAAAAAACTAATGGTGTAGCGCCTGCACCGGATCCAAAGAAATGACAGTCGGCGATCGATAGACAAAAACGGGCTTCGGAGAATGTTTTATACATATATTATTTACTTTTTATATATTGTTAATAAAAGAAAATTGTATTTCTCAGAGAAATATTAGTCGCGAGATTGATAGATAGAAACGTATCTTTAGCCGAACATCGTTCAAAATCAGTATTATTCCTTGAGAAAATATTATTGAACAAATTACATACAGTAACTTGTTGAACCGTTTTGTCTGATATTTTATAATAATGGGAATATATCAATCATTGCAAGCGTAATTATCAAAAATATATGTTACTGTTCCAAGACGCATACAACTGTAAGGCACATTTAACCGCATAGACTGAATTCGATCGACAGGGAAATTTTTTCCAAATAACTTTGTTGTCTGCAGAATGGCGACGACAATTTATATCCAGGAACGGGTTATCTGTAGCCAGCATTTTATTCTTAAATGCTTTTCTCTTGAAAACCATTGATTTATAATTATTCACCAAATATATATATATGCATATATAAGTGTTGATCAAATTCCTCCGACATCATTCTCATTTTGGAAATACATGTTAGTTACCACTATCACACTTGTATATTGATGGCTGTGGGTAAAATGTATTTACTCCTAAATTAATCTTCCACTTCTATGTTGTCAGTTCTCTTCTATCACCGTCTGAAGTTGCATGACCTTGAGTGTTGTAATAAAGTTTGTAGTAATTAGAAATTCACAGTTCACATTTGGAAAATATTTTATGTGAAGCAATCGGGAAACTCATTCCTTCCAATGATTGATTCCCGTTTCATAAGTGTTTATTAGGCTGAAGACAAGTATTATAAATAGCCTACCTCTTTTCATTCAGTACAGTAAATAAGCCAAATTGTGAACCTTTTGTAGCTCAAATCAATTGAGAAATATTTCGGCGATAAATTACTAACGCATTATCCCTAATTTTGAAAGAATTGAAAATACACTTCGAAAAGCATAAAAGTTAAATCTCAATAATTTTTATTTTTTTCACATTCATTTTTTTCTAAAGGGGTCAATTACAAGTTAGCATTCATTCGATTACCGCCCAGTAGTTGGGTTGTAAATGTAATAGAAAACCTTTCCTTATGTTAGAAACAGGGATAGGTTAGCTGCCGCAGAAGTGATAGTCAGTGGTTAAGGTGTGGTATATTTTAGAGGAAACTGCAAATGCTTTTGGGCAGTGAACTTGGTGGACTCCATGCAAAGGCGATTAGTTTCTCGTTCAAAAATTATCTTCAAGATCTAGAAATGATCCAACACTTATGTATCAGAAACATCCAATTATATAAATTGACCTTATGAGGAGAGTACAGTAGTCTAAAATTGTGTTGTTCTATTATATTTTTAGGAAAGCTACTATCAATTCAATTTGCTGTGTTACAAATCCGCGATACAGCCATTTTTTACCTTTTACATCTGTGAATGTCGTTTTGCCAGCGTTATCATTCTTGGGATCACACAGTACGTCTCAAACCCGTCAGGACAACGTTCGATGGTTTTTCGCCTGGTGCAACTTCATTTTCTCTATTTTTAACTTTGATAAATACAAATTAGATGTGTAAGCTAACCATGTGCTCTTAGTTGCACCCCTCGGGACAGGACAAACGTTCCGTCCCTGTTTTCCACAATGTCTGAAGGAGATAGTTACACTCTAAGGTCACGAATTCATGTGAACACTTGCGCAGTTTATGTATACGATCCCTAGGTGACTGAGGATGGAAATGTTGAAGTATCAGTGTAATATTTTCAATTTCGCTGAAATCCGGGAACGGGATTTATGAATACTGGATTTAGTGTTATCACATATGTCATCGCTCCTTGCTGACCTTAAACCCACAATGTTTTTCAATACTGCTTAAAGGACATGGAATGTTCATCATGCAAATTCACCCTGGATTTTACCGTTTTATTCATTCAGTTTGAAATCAGATGTACGAATGATTGTCTGAGCATTTCCATTGCCTCACTTTTCTAAGTGAATAGAATATCGTGGGGGATTTCACACATGAACACCCACACACACTAGTTTTTTTCCCCTTTAGTCATTTTATATGACCAGTCTATGTGATTACTCTGGGAGGGGTAACTCCTAACTTGTTAATCAGCAACCACTCAGCCTTTTATCTCCATCGCTAAAATCATCTTTTTCGACCAACTGCTAATATTACATCTGAGTTCGATCAACAACAGCGTATATACTCACCGCGATATAACTTCATCAGATTTTGCTTTTCTAAATTCTGGCACACAAATGTGGATCTTCTCAGTGAGTCCTTTATAACAGCTTTGAATGGACTTTAGCTTCTTTATCAACTTTCATATCTGTCCCCGTTTTCACTCAATTATTTTTAACATTCATATTTACTGTTGTCTGTTGAAAGCTACAGTTGGATAGCAAATCTCTGTTGAAATAGCTGCGAAGAACGAAACTAAATTGAATCAGCCTCCTAATGCTCCAACTTTCAGGCACTTGTCTAGTATTATGACGGCTAAAATACATTGTTATTTGATCTAATTCTATGGACCGGAAACAGCAAACAACTGTGAAAAGGTATCAGGTTTGCTTCTGGGTGGAGAGAAAAAAAAATAGTAGCAGAATGACATCGTTGATGCTCTCAGTGCGCTGTTTGCTCACCGCTCGTTGATCAATTTTATGTATACGACTCATACAAACTTTGTATCATGAAAGTGTTCTCCAATTTCGCTGAGTCAAACCATCAAACATTTTCCCCCACCAAAGCAGGTTCCATTTTTTTCTTAAATTTCAGTGCTAATTTCCTTATTATCTGAAAATGTGTGCCGAAACACGCAATAGTCCATGATCACTCCCGGTAATTCATCACATATGCACAACTGCGTTGCTGTCATTTTAAGATGGCAAGCTCAGGGAACTTCACGGTTCCCCGTCAGTTATTTCATTATTCGGTACCAGATCCCAGAGTTGACGGCCGAAATCTCTTTAGTAAGGTTTGTTCCAATAAGCAGGTTCGAGGTATGTTGGTTTAATGTTAGCCTTATGCAGTATGATATTAAGAAGCCTATCGATGTTCCGTGACAAATAAATCAAGCAATAAATAACATTAATATCACATTCTATACAATCCCTTATAAACACCTAATTAATATAAATGCTTCAGTTAACCGTTTGATTTATTTCTCTCACACCGATATTTTATGAGGGATACTTGTAGTTCTTTTGAGCATAATCAACAAAGTTCTTTCGATATTGTAAAATGCATTCAAATAGAGTTGTGTGTTTCAAACAATTAGATTGATGTTGATGTATCACATGTTATACATCCATTAATCCACTCTTGCTTCTTCAAAGTAAGCCAACTACTGGAAATTTGTGGACAACGGAGTTTTGTGTGAAAAATCGACGACATCGCAAATTTCAAACATTACTTGATATGTGTGTCGCATAAAATGAGATCTACAATTTTGTTCTGCGAAATCGTGTGCGCCTTGTCCTCGGTTGTATTAGCAAAGGAAACAAACGGTTTGTGTGATTGATCTCTTGAGTTCAGGGTTAACAGATCACTCCACCCTATTTTCGCAGAAAACAAACGTGCTCGAGGTAGGCAATACATGGTAACATCAGCATAACGTACTCCGAGATGACCTGTCGTGGATCCATGACAAAGCTGTTCCATCAAAACTGCACAAACTGCTCAAGACAACCGATTGTTTGATTGTTTGAAAACGATCATATTGATTTTTGGGTAAGGTTTGAAAACTAGAATTTAAAAGTGTGATAGGTGTAACGAACTGTTCATGAATTTAGTCTGCATTCAGACATTTTATTTGAAAGTGTAGTTCACAGTGACCGGTCGTGATATACGCTGAAATTTCAAAGTGTACATGGTGTTCTTTCTCCTATAGCGCTAGTTGGTATAGTTGGTCTCTGCACATGAACACGTCTACTTTGAATGCACAATGGCGTAATTATATATTTCGTGGTATCATTATTGACGATGCAAATAAAAACACAGATCGGGAATAAATCTACTCAAATATGTATCGCAATTTGTATTGCATTCTGTTTGCATTAAAGATCCAGTCATCATTTTTAGCTCTTGACGACTCAGCACCGAAAATATCCAATCAGTTACTAGGCCACCAGAAACTTTGCAAAAACAATCTCCTTAATTACCTGTGGACATGTTTTATTAGCGGGTATTCAGTGTTCTATTTTGAGGCATCTAGCAAACTCGTTTTAACAAGCTTTATGACACCGAGGATATTTTATTCTAGTATTGTCAATAGAAATGTCCTCGTATTTATGGATGATGTGCGAGTGCCAACTGAGAATGCTATTCATTTGCATTTGAATTGAGTAGCACTCCGCCAACTGACAAAGCGTAATCCTTGTGAATTACTGTTTAATCATTATGGTTTAAAAGCTCAAACCTGAAGCGCTTCCTGATCATCGGTTAAGTCAATTTAGCAAAGTTTGAGAAGTGTGAATAGTTTTTCTCGTCATTCAAGAAAAATGCAAGACAAATTGGTCAAGTTTTCTCCCATAAAATCCACAGACGATGGTAGATGAGTTTTAATCCTGTGACTGAGCACCAAAGTGAATATGTTGATCCACTCAAACACTTGTCTATCCTCAATCTTGGTGGCAGCGTACGAGCATCCCATCACTTGGACAAGCCTCTCGATGTATCTTGAGAT